GTGGCTGTAGAGGTTGGGGTGGATGAGGCGGTCCAGCCGTGTCTGCACCGGGGCCTCGGGAGGCTCCAGTGACCTGGAAGGCAGCACTGGAGAGCAGGGGTGGGGCGTGAGGAGGAGCCCTCGGGAAGAGGGGGCGGGGCGGTCAGGAGGCACCCCTGCCCACACGCAGGCCTGAGGTAGGGCTGTGGGTATCCCGGTACGCAGGACAGACAGGGCCCGCCAGTGAGGTCAGGCTCCCGGCAGGTGTGAGCGGAACGGACAGGTCAGAAACATGAAGGTTCTCTCTCATGAAAGGCAGAGGTGGGAGTGAACAGGGTGAGTTAGGGGAGTCTGTGGCCTGAGCGGGCCCTGAGCCCAGGTGGGCCAGGCAGGCCTCCCGGAGGAGGTAGCATTGAGCTGAGACCCGAATGACTGGGACGTGCAAAGCTCTTGGGGTGGAGCCCTGCGGGCAGAGAGGACGGGCGTGCGCAGGCGCGGAGGGGGTGGGCTTGGCGTGTGCTGGACTCAGAGTGCCCAGGGAGGTGGGCAGGGGGAGCGGGGAAGTGGTTTCCCGGCCCCGGTGAGGAATGCGGGGTTTATGGTAGGAGCCTTCAGAGGGTCTCTGCCAGGGGCATGGTGGGAGCTGACGCACCCTTTCAGATGACCGTGGCCGCCCTGAGACAGGGCGTGGGGTGCGGGGTCCTACTGCCATACCAGGAGGTCAGGGCTTACATCCTGGTCCACCACGTTTGAGCTGTCACTGGCCCCTCTGTGCCCGCTTCCCCACCCCTGACGTGTAGGAACAATGGTATGGCCTTGAAGGGTTCTAGCGGGACTGAGATGGGGTCACACCCTGGCCTGAAATCGGCGTCCATGTGATAAGTACATCAGCATCCACACACCACGTACGCGCAGGCTCAGACACGCACACGTCGCTGACATGCAGACGGAGGGCCCCTGTGCTCACGCAGGGACTGGGACACTCGAACACCCTGCTCGCTGCCCCTCACCCCTGCCCTCCGGCCTTCTCACCTGGAGTGGGCCCCGCGGATGGCCTTGGCACACTGGTCACCGGCTTCACCAGGGCTACCGCCTCTCTGGACGCCTGTCCCACCCCAGAGAGTGCTCAGCAGGTGATAAGCAGGCCCCATGGCGGAGGTGGTGGCAGGACCCTGGCCACCTGGAGACCCTCCCTTGGCTCCGGCTGTACCTGAGCACAGTCCCCCGCCCCTCACCTGGGTGCCAGGTGCCACAGCCAGGTGAGACATCTGTCCCTTAAGGATCGTCAGGGCCTCTTCGTGGGGGTCTGGCCGCTTCACGAACACCTTGCTACCGTCCTTCCTAGTAGGCGTTGGCACACCGTGAGGGGACACTGAGTCTCCCTCCTGGCCACAAGCTTCTAAAACAGGAAACTTCCTCCCCCCATTATAAATGAGCCAGAGAGGATCAGAGCGTGGCCCAAGGTCACACAGCACACCCTACAGTAAGGCAGCCCGGGCCTCCCTGGGCACAGGGCTCATCTCGACCCACGGCAGAAAGCAGCTAAGGCCGTAAAGGGAGCCGGCAGGGCGCTGCTACCCGGCGGGGAGCGCACGGACGGGTGCTCAGGGCTGGGGGCCGGCGGGGCAGCGCCCACCTCAGGGCCTCGGGCGGGCCTCCGCGGGGCAGCTGCTGGTACTGCCTGACGATGTCCTTGATCTGCTGCGTGGGCTGTGGGAAGTGCTCCGAGTTGAGCGTGGAGTACCGGACCAGCTCTGGGCAGGGTGAGGCTGTGTGCGAGCGGGTGGGCCACAGGGTGAGATCTCGGGGCCTCAGCCACCCCCAGGCCACTCCTGGGACCCCCCCACCCCGCTGGGATGGGGCACTCACTGGTTTCTGAAGCCCGGTCCTGAGCTAGGATGGGGGCAGCCACGGGCTTGGTGGGGGGCCGAGGGGCCTTGGCCAGAGGGGCGGGGGCCGCAGGCTTCGGGGTGCAGCGCAGGAGCACGGGTTTGGCTGGGGGCCCAGCACCTCCGGACCTGGGCTGTGCCTCTGGGGGTAAGGGTTTCTGTGGAGAGCAGGGTAGGAGGTGGGCTCCTGGGCTCAGAGAGGTAGCACGAAGCCCGGAGCAGCCCAGCGCCCTCTCGGCAGAGTGTGTCTAAGCAGCCCCTCTGTGTGGGTGGACCAGGCTCACCTCTGGGGGCAGGGGTCTCGGGGCAGGACTCAGGGGCTGCTGCTGAAGTGCCATGGCCTGCAGGGTCATCTCCCGGGCCTGGGGAAGGGGTGGCGGTGAGCGGGCGGCACCCCCGGCCCCCGCAGCCCACCCTACACTCACCAGCAGCACGGCCTGCTTGTGGATGAAGGCTTGCTGCAGGGCCAGCGTGGAGGCGTCCAGGCCTGGGACTGGGGAGCGGGGCAGGGCACAGGTGGGCGCAGGCGCTGGTGAGGCCAGGCCCCACTGAGCCGGCTCCCGCTCTGAACACGGAGGTGCAGCCGCAGCCCCTCCCCGCCCGGCCTGGGAACCACCCGGGCAGCACTGACTTGGCTCTGGCTTTGGCTCTGGGGGTCTCCTGGGGGGGTCTTCAGAGCTGCTACTGCCGCCTCCGCCTGGCTGGCCTCCCCCCTTCATGCGGTAGGCGATGGCTGTCGGCTTCTCCAGGTCCTGGGGGCAGCAGGTGGCTCAGGTGACTGCCTCAGGGCTGCTGAGGTTCCATAGCAACAGGCACCTGACACCACATCCTCCGCCCTCAGGGGCCTCCTGCTCCTGCACGTCGGCTCTTCCCCTGGCTGTCAGCCATCGAGGTCAGTCTTCCCCACCAGACCCACCCCTCCTGTCACCGCAGGGTAAACTGAGGCTCAAGGCAGGGTTGAGCGCTGCCCAAGGGCTGTGGCTCGGCCAGGGAGGGGCTCATGCGGCTCCCAGAGTGTGCAAAGGGGTTTCTCGCAATCTGGGCCAGCTCACCCAGGGCCCCCCCAGACAGGTCTGCACCAGCCTGGGGTGATGGCTCCCATGGGCGGTGGCAGGAGTCCCACACAGCTGGCCGCAGTCCCCAGAGTCGGAGAGGAGCACCTCCAGCTGTGCAGAGACCCCCCTATCCCTTGCCCAGCCGCAAAGACGCAGACAGGACACATCCCATGATGGGAGTGACTCGGGGTGCCTGCTCTCTGCCAAAGGGCCCGTCCGTACCGCGTCCCCGTAGGATAGGACAGGATCGAAGAGGCTGTCCAGGTAGCAGTCCAGCCCCTTGTGGGGTACAGCAGGCTCTCCGAGGCTGGCTGAGTCTGGGGAGGCACACCCACGTCAAGGCCTCCCCTGTGCTGACCGTTGCGCCCTGCAGCCCCCAGGCTCCTGTCTCAGCAGAGGCAGCGGCTGCTGCTGGCTGACCTTGATGGGTCGCTGTCGCTCTCTGGGACTCAGTCTCCCCATCTGTACCGCCCTCATTGTGGCTGCAGTACCCGTCGGAGTCAGGCGTGGTGGGCACGTGCCCCTGGGGCTGGGGCCTAGCGGGTGTGTCCTCGTCCGAGTCCCAGCTGCTCCCAAACACCCTGGGGGGAAGGGGAACACAGAGTAGCTGAGCCTCAGAGAGACCCATAGCCCTCCCAGAACTGCCCCCAACTTTCCTCTGTGCTCTGGAATCGGGTGAGTTTCTTTTTCTTTTTTCCTTTTTTTGCTATAGGATGTATGGGCTTGCCAGAGGGAAGGTGAGAAATCGCCGCCCAGAAGGGACAGTCACATTGCAATCGCTTCTCCTCCAACCTCCTGTGATTCTGGGCACACATGCACACTGCGTGTGATTCTGGGCACACATGCACACTGTGTGTGATTCTCCAGCTGCTGGGCCGGGGACTCGAACCACAGTCAGCCGCGTGGGATCTAGCTGCCTTAACCTCCACACCACCTACTGGCCCAACTTTCTCTTCTTAAAAGGCAAGACTCTGGCCAGCCACTCTGGGACCCTGAGACCACGAGGGAAGGCCGCCCTGTGTGTGCCGTGACCCCGGCTGGCCAAGGCTGAGGTGGATCACAGAGGGAAGACCTGCGCGGGCTGCCTGCCCCGCTTTCTGTTTCCCTCCTTCATGGACGAAATTTTAAAAAATAATCATAAAAAATACATAAAAAGGCAGGCCCCTTGGTGAGCGCCCCCTCCATAAGAACCTGAAGCTCAGGTTCAGAGCGAGCCCCTCCCAGCAGCTGTGGGGTGGAGACTTCTGCCCTGGAGCGGCCACCTGTGTGAGGGCCCAGGGAGCTACTTACACCCTGGGGTGGCCCCTGCCAGCCACGGGCCCATCTGTGCCCACGATGAAGTAGGACTTCTGCCGCGGGAAATCCCTGAGCAGCTCCAGGTCTGACACCAGGTCCAGCACGTAGTCATGGCCGGCCAGCTCTGCCCACTGGGCCCCGTTCTTCATGGCCACTGTCCAGCCCCGCCAGCCATCTGCCAGCCCCCTGGGGACAGCATGCAGAGGAACAGAAAGGGAAAGGGGCCATCAGGCACTGAGCCCCTGGGCTGTGACCCAGGACTGGCCTCCTGCCCCCCCGCTGCCTGCCTCCCAGGGGCACAGGGGTGTGCCAAGGGGGTGTCCTAGACGCCAACCTGTGCCTCAGAATGTCTCCAGCCACCTCTTCCCCCGTGCTCCAGGAGTGCACCGGGCAGGAGAACTGGTCACCTGGGGGCGGTGGGGCTGGGCTCAGCCTGGGGCAGCGGCCGGGCTTCCCTGAACCCGCCAGCACTCCCACTGCCCGGCCCCAGGCCCCAGTCCAGGCACAGCCCCCGCACTGGGCTCTTCTGTAGAGCCACCATGGCGTCTGCTGGCCCCACTGCCCCTCGGGAGGAGGAAGCAGCAGGCAGTGGGGAGGACGCAGCTCACCGTTGAAGCAGCCCACGTCCAGCGCCATGCTGGCCTTCTCGCGGGTGGCCATCCACTCAAGCTGGGTCGGGGGAAAGGTGCGGGCGGCCCCCAAGCCCTGCTGCTGGGCCCGGCCCATGGCCTGCATGAGGCGGTGCTGACATACAGCCTGGAAGCCATTCCGCCCGTAGTCAGACACGAACCTGCAGGCAGGAGGTGGGGCTGGATCCAGGGAGGTCTGAGCTAGCCCAGAAGGGGCCAATTCCGAGGCCGGTCTGAGGGGGGCCAGGTTAGCCCAGAGCTCTCGGTAAGGCTGAGAAGGCCCCAGGCAAACTCACAAGGGCTCGAAGCTGTAGCTCAAGGATCTGGGATGACATAGAAGAGCCCCCAGAAGACCTCGGGCTAGCCCAGAGACCCATGCCTGAACTGAAAGGGTCCCAGGTGAGCCTAGAAGGATCTAAGGCCAGTGCTGAGGGTCAAGGACAGGCTACAGAAGTTCCAGCTTGTGGGAACCAAGTGTCACAGACGGGGTGTGTCCACAGCAGGGTGTAGACAAGAACCTGAACTCGGGAAGGCCCAGTCTTTCCTAGTGCAACCCTGTCCCAAGTTCTCACCTGGGGGAGCTGGGAGTGAGGGTTCGGCTGACCTGGGACCACGAGCCTGAGCTCCACTGGGCAGGCCAAACTCGGGCCACCCTGCTGCCTCCCACTGCAGCTCTGCTGGGGCAGCAGAAGTACCAGCCCTGGGGCTAAGAGAGGACACCTAGGGCTGGGCCCACAGCAGTGCCAGACTGGCAGGCACTGGCCCTCCCTGCCCACAGCTGCCACAGCCACAGACTGGCCAGGTGAGGCCTACCTGTTAAAGCCGTGGCTCGCCGGTACCCAGTGAGTGGGTCTGGAGCCCTCCCCAACCCATCGGGAAGCAGCACTTTGAGAGAGGCCATGCTGCAGGCAGTCTCCCAGCTGGGATCCACACCCTGGGCCTGCCTGAGCTCTTCTCCTGGCAAACCCTTCTCACTCGGCAAGTGCCAGCATCCCCACGACGGGTGTGCACACGTAGCATTGCCATGCCCTGCTCTGAGCACGTCACTCGGGTTCACACGTTCCGACCTCATGGCAGCCCAGTGAGGCTACCACTGTGGTTCTAGGTGAGCAAACGGGCCCAGAGAGGTCAAGCAGCTCTCCCCAGGTCACGGGGCTCACACATGGCTGAGCTGGGATTCGCGCCTGGACTGTGCAAATCCAGGGTCCATGCTCTTTTTGTTTTTTGGAGAGGTTTTCACTATAGGGCGCGTGCGCTCGCCAGACAGACAGAGACAGAGAGACAGAAAGCGAGAAATCACGCCCCACGGAGGATGGCCACGCCACAGTCCCTTCTCCATTTTGCTGTTGGGATCTTGGGCACGCACGCACACGCACCCGGCGTGAGTTTTAAGCCACCGGGTTTGGGACGCAAACCGCGGTTGACTCCAGGGGAGTCCAGCGACATAGCCATTACGCTAACTGCTGGTCCCAAGTGAGTCCGTGCTCTTAACACCCATGAGAGGCCAAAGTTCTTGCCCAGACCCCCGACCCCTGGTCTTGCTCTTTGTTCTGGGAGCGCTCCGTCTAACCTGATCCGACTCCCAGCCTCTGTGGCGAGCCCTGTGGAGACCGAGGGCAGCCCCCGCCACCTCCAGCCTGAGCTTCCCGGCATGGAGACCCCCTCTGGCCCGCCGGTCCCCTGTCCCTCCTGCCACAGCCCCGCACAGTCCCACTCACTTGAGGAGGTACTTGCTGAGGCGCCAGGACGGGGCGAAGCCGCTGAGGCAGGGGGCCAGCAGCAGCCAGCCGCGCTCGGCGTTGTGGGTGTTGGGGTTGCGCCACACCTGGTTGGCCAGCTGTGCCAGGATCTCGTCCCGCAGCTCGGGCACCGCCAACCCCTTCTGCACGATGTAGTTCCCGAAGACGCTCTCCTGAGCACCGTGCAGGCGGGGGTCGCCCATGAAACGCAGGATCTGGGCCACGGGCAGACTGCTCAGACAGGCCCTCCCGCATCCACCAGCAGCCACCACGCGAGAGGCCTCGCATCACAATGTAACTGCCAGGTGCCCTGCCAAGTGGCCAGGCAGTCCCCGCCCCCTGCCCCTTGACCCTGAGGAAACTCAAGATCTCTCCAGCTCATGGACCTTCCAGCCCCTCCCCGCATTCCTGGCCTCCATCGAAGCCCCAGAGGGCTCTTTCTGACGTTCAGACATGACCAACATTCCTCCCACGAAGGCAAAACCTTGGCTTCCTTGGGCCCTTGGGACCCCGAGTCCCAGGTCTGGTGTCCCGACTCTGTCCTGACCACACCAATTCCCTCTTTGCTGGTGGTGCCTTATCCACTCTCCCTACCTGACAAGAGTGCCTTCTAGCTCAAATGCCCCGCCTCCAGGAAGCCCTCTTTGGACTCAACTAGGGGCTCTGCCTGGACTCCCCGGGCGTGCTTCCCTCTGACCACGCTGGTGGTCCCCAACCAGGTCTGCCCTGCCTCCCCCTCAGACTGGGAAGCCCCGGGGAGAGGTCTGGCTGACATTCTGGAGACTTCAGAGAGGGTCAGAGGCAGCCTCTCTCCCAGGAAGATGGCAGGGGGAGCCACAAGCCACCCACCCCCCGAACGAGAGGCGGGGAGCTCGAGGGCCCAAGAGGGCAGGTCACAGCCTTGCCTTGGGGCTAGGAACCTGGGGGCAGGCCTGCTGGGACGCCCTACCAGTTTGAAGACGCTCAGCGCCTCCGCATGGTGCTCAGCTGGCAGCCGAGTGAGGGACGCCTTCAGGGGGGCTGTCAGCATCCCGAAGGTGGGGTCCTGGGGGCACAGGACAGGTGCATGAGGAAGAAGTGAGGCGGGGACAGAGAGGTACATCTCGATCTGGCTCCCTGCGCTGGGCACGGGTGCAAGGGCCCATGAGGCAGGTGCTCTGTCCCCAGTGTACAGCCGGGGACACTGAGGGTGGGCGGGGCACGTCGGTGGTAGAGGGAGGACAAGCGCTGACCTGGGCCTCCAGGGGGCAGCGGGCTAGAACAGGGCTGATGTGCTGAGTCCCACCAGGTATTTGCTTTCTGGAATATTCCAGACTGGGGGACTGATAGCCCTGTCCGAGCCTCTGAGGGCCCTCCGCGACCATCTAGGTCCTTGGGAGCTCCCCAGACTCCATGTGGCCCCCCCACAGCAGGGCTCAGAGCCACCCCACCAAGCCTGCCCTGGGTCTGTGCCAGCCCTACCTTAAAGTGGCATCGGACAAACTTGGCCATGGGGTAGCTGTTGATATCCAGGGGCAGCGTAACACGGGGCTCTGCCTGGAGCCGGGGAGTCCGCACAGGCGCCACCCGGGGCTGCCAGGCTGGCCTGGGGTCTGTGGAGCATGGACGGTGTGAGGACCTGCTTCCTGATCTGCCCACGTACCCCCGGCGTCCTCGCTGACCCACCTGCCGCTGCTCGCAAGAGCCCAGCCAGCTCGGCTGGGACCTCCAGGTGCCCCACGGCCACCACCTCCCGCTTGCTGAGCTCCTGCAAGGGCCATGCACGGTGAGGGGACAACTTGTCACGCCCTGCCGCCCACTGCCCTCCCTGCCCCTCTGCCACCTAGACCGCACACCCACCTCCTGCCCCCGCAGCCGCGCCTCCTCCAGCCGGCGCCTCTGCTCTGCCCTCAGCTGCAGGGAGCAGGTGGTCAAGTC